AGCAGCAGCAACAACACCAACAACAGCAACAGCAACAGCAACAGCAACAGCAACAGCAACAGCAACAGCAACAGCAGCAACAACAACAACAACAACTGCTGCTACTACTACTGCTACTGCTACTACTACTACTACTACTACTACTACTTCTGCTACAAGTGTCGGTGCGGGGGTGGGCCCGAATCCGACCGTTCCACTCGTTCCACTCATTCCACTCGCGCCTCCACTCGCCCTGCACGTTACCCTCTCCACTCATTCCTTTCGTCTACAGCGCAAGTGGCGCGAGGGGCACGAGTGGCGTGGACGACTTCAATTCCTCGCCCCCCTTCCTTGTGCAGTCGCACTGTTCTGGGGCCGCCAATGAATCAACGTTCAGAATTGTCGTTCAGATTCATGCCAGCAGGTAAACCACTTGGGGCTTGAGCAACCTGCTTCAGCTAACATGAGCCGAAGACGTACCAATGTGCGTGAAGTGTAAACTTGTCTGTAGCAGGCGGGATTGTGAGAGCTCGGGCAGAAACTGCATTTGTGCTTGCCGCCTGGCGACGACAAATCTGCTGTGCAGGGTGCATGCTTCCTGCATTAAGTTCTACGGCCAGCTGCAGCTTAATTGCGGGGGGCTGAACCGGAAGGAAGGCTGCTCTCATCTTTGGCACTCCTGCACTGCTTCAGCTGGCCAGGGCAGTGACCCTGGGCAAGGCAATGCGTGGGCTTGCTTGACGTAGCGAACTGTTAGAAGGTAGCCACTAGAACCTGCCATGTTTTGTCGCAACGGCCGCGGCTCGTAGCCCTCACTTGCCAAGTCTATCAACATCATGCGAACACATGCTGGCCCTCGCGTTTGTGCGGCACCAGCTACTTAGCGGCTACGCGACTTGCAAGTTGCACCTTGTAATCCGCAAGTAAGGCTGCCACTCTGCTCTTGTTGGCAGACTCGGCACAGCGCCCATTTTCGAAACCTGGCCAAACTTGAAACAGCTTCGCCGTTTGTGCACTGAGCCAAGACTAAGGATTCAAAGCCCATGTCATCGCGTCCAGCCAGGTGTCTTTGTCAGGATGGGAACCCAACTAGAAAACGCCCTGAGCCCAACTACAGCGTGATGGATCAAAGTGCTGCTGCCACGATGTCCTGCGACTCACAAACAGGAGCAGCCTCGGGCAAACAAGCGACTCCATCATTCAGTCGATAGGGGCCCAGCTGTCAATGCCCCAGCAGCCGCAGCAAATTTCATACATTCCTGCAACCACGCGTTGGAAATTTCTTGTTTGATATATTGTGGAGTACATTGTGCAGCCGGGCACTATAACTACGGACAAGGCCGGTCATGTGTAATGTGACTTGTCTTCGATTTGTCTTCTCAGGGCCGCGTGCTTGCAAAGGCCCGGCTTAGCTCTGAGTTGCTCGTTCTGCTGGGCCCTCAAGTCTATAAAGTCGAAGCTCGAAAGCCAAACGCCACGGGCTTGTGGGGACTTGGCTCCAAAATCTCTAAAAACTCTCAATATTCAAACATTAACCGACGCCTCCCCTTTTGGCCCGATGTCAGTAGATGTCCCTCAGACCGTGCAGCGGTTTCGCAATCTTCGAAATTCCAAGACCATATTTGGTGCACTGAGCTGCTGATGAGGTTTTCAGATCGCACAGGTCTCAGCTGCTTCTGCACACAGCACTCGAGGTCCCGTTCTGAAATGGGCTTTAATTCACTGGCGCACCCAGCCGCTGCGATCTCGCAACCCGAGCATTCGTGAAGGGGTCTCTCGACACTTACAGGCCCAGGTCAGTGATACAGGACGGTCAGCTGTTGTCCTTGTAACAGAACCATGCAAACCACATCCACCCCTCCTGCAGCGGCTTCCCTTCCACCAGTGCCACAGCAAAAGCTGCGCGGAAGCAATCGCCCGCTCCTCAGTTCAGAGAGAAGGGACTGTGGGCTTACTACGGAGCATCATGGCAACCCGGAAAGACCTCCCAGGCGAGACCCTGTGCTTTCTCAACTATTAGTGAAACTGATCCGGGCATACGGACTAAAACTACGCCAGGAAGCCAGGAAGGACTTGCAACACAGCTTGTTTCAAGCATGTGTTCTTCTAGCTTCATCACAACTGCACAACCGCAGGGTACTTTAAAGTTGCCATAATACAGCACTAGGACATACTAGGACCACTAGGTCACTAGGAGTCGCCAGGTTCTTTGCTTCTGCGCTGTCCCTCCTCGCTTCCCTCTAGATCAGAGAAGCAGTTCCAACTTCGAAGTTCGAGGTGAAGACCACCAGCTCTCTGCTTCAATTCGTATGAGTTTCCTTCAGAAACATCCTATGCTCATGCAATCCGTTGGTCTACGCTGGTAGCTCAGCGTCAGCTACGGCAGGAGCCACAGCCTGCGGTTGCAGTTTAGCCTGAGAGGCTTTTTGCTGTAAGATCGCCAAGATCTCCTGATTCTGCAAAACCGCCGGGCGATGCAAGCCGCTCACGTCCAAGGCTCCTCTTCGCCGGGTGCCAAGACCACTGAGCAGAGGACGGGAACAGGGAGAGGGAACTGGGTGGCGCCGTCCCTGCTCGCAACGTCCAGTGCTGGCCGTGGAGTGATCTGCATCGCCACAGGCACCCAATGCATCCCTGCGTTCAGCACCGGAGCGACCACCCCCCTTGCCAAGACGTTGGGGACCACCCTGCATTCGTGACAGTGCCTGGCAAAGGCGGAGTGAGTGCCTCTCACTGAGCACCTCCGGATCTTGGTGGTGGAGAACTCGCAGATGCGCCAACAGCGAATCCAGCAAGGACTGGCTTCCAAGCCGCATGTCGCTCATCGCTTCGCAAATCTCCGTGATCAGCTCGATGCTAAGATCCCGGAGGCGATGAGTCAAGGAGTGAAGCGTCGAATTGGCCATCTGGTACAGATCCGTCTTCGTAGTAGCAGTGAAGCCGTGTTTCTTGCGTGCCAACTGGGCCAAAAGGCGTGTGATGTGGAGGACATCTGCCGGCTCAGCGAAGTAGGCGGCCGAAGTCATGCGCCATGCCAGCGGCATCCACCGATCCTCAGCAGCGTTGATTTTCAGAAGCTCATGAGCCTTGCCCAAGATGTCCTGCACCGTGTGGCATGGCCGTTTCAACTCATAAGGCGGTTTAGGAAAAATCCGTCCTGGCCCTTGAGGCATGACGGCATCAAAGGAACCAACGCTTTCCAAGGCATCTGTCGCGGCATGTCGCAATGGTACATCGCTCGCCTCGTTAGCCCTCACTTGACTTTCCAGAAGCTCATACCTCTTGGAGCCCTTCGCGATTTTGTTGGCCGTGGCGAAACGCAGGCGCTGCGGCAAGGACATCCTCAAATTCTCAGCCAAAGGAGGAACTGGGAGAACTGGTTGGTTTCGGGCTCCGAGAAGTGGAAAAGTTCCTAAAGCCACAGATGCCAGCCGCTCCTCGTCATGGTCCAAAATGGCCTGCTGGAGCTCATGGATTCTCGCACGGCGGGCTGGGATTTCGTCGAGAAGTTCTGGTGACTCTCCGGGTGACCAAACCGAGACTGCCGCTCCTTGCCGTGCTTCGGTGTGCGCGGATGCAGTCGTCGGTGAAGTGCAAGTCGATGTGCCATCCCTGTTGCCCACTACTCCGAGGCTCCGGTGCGTACATGACTTCGGCTTCGACTGCAACTCGTTTTGATGGATGCTCTCGACACCTTCCTCCGACATGGCGAAATCATTCAATGCTGAAGCACGGTCCCTCAAGTGGTACTGTAGGTTTGCCTTGGCATAGGTCTCCACTTCTTCTTTCTTCCTTGCTGAAGACCGCGCTGCTGCAATGACAAGCTTCTCTGTGCTGGCCGGTTCATCAACCGTAACATACGAAACGTCCTCCTGGCCGAGCGGGTTGCTGCGGTAGGTGCTCTCGGGCCAAACCGCCGACTGAAGTCGGATTTCTGCACGAACCTGCTCCCATCTGAACTCACGGTAGCTGCCCATGAGTCACGACATTATGTCGCATGGCGTGGTCACTACATGACACTTGGTTCAATCAGTTTCAGCTTTGCACGATCTGCTTCAAGCCCACCCGAAGCGACGGAAGTTCGTAATGCGAGAAAAACATTGCTATTAGGTTCACGCTTGGTCACAGTACGGAACCCGAGTGAGCCTACCTCAAAACGGCCTGTGCAATAGACTCGTTGCCTGGTTGCTCCGCAAGTCTCGACCCAAACTGGCTCCAATCGGACATGTCAGGCTGTGAGAGTGCCGAATCATTCCGCGTCAAACATGCCTCACCAAGGCTCTGCTCTAGCCTTTCCTCACAGCTTCGTCGCCACGCAAAGGATACTCAATGCATCTCAACGTCAAGCGTGAATGTGGCATGGTCCGCAGTTCGGCAAGCGCTACCGAAATTACACAGCGCACGAACTCTCGCAAAGGAGCACAGAATCCCGGCATCCCGCGCGTTCACAGCATTTGGCATTCGTCGAGCTCGGTCCGCGGCCCGTGGTGTCGACGACTTTACCGCCAGGCCTCGGAAAGTGCCATGAGCCCGTTGGAAATGCCCGAGCCCCGCTACCGAACTCTGCCTCTGCCGTCACGCACACGAAGGCTCTTAGCCACGCGCACTGGAAAGCTGGCCTGCCGAAGAACCTTCTTTCATGGGGTTCTGCAGAAAAAGGCATTGCTTGGCAGTTGGGTCACAACATACACGTAGCAAAAAAAGTCCACATTCTTGCATGGCAAGAGGCCTGGCCCTGGGCAGTGACCAGCACAGCCCCATCCTTTCCTCGAAGCTCGGATGGCTTCTCTTCAGACTCTTCTACCTCTCATATGCTAGTAAGCTGCTAGTAAGAGGACGCAACCCATCTCTACTCAGGGTTCTACATGAGCCACCTATTATCATGAAGTGTGTCTTTCTGCCTAAGGAAAGGTGTAAGGCCGACTTTCACATTTGGCATGCCACCTTTTTTGGCCGTGCACTTCTGTTCTCAGCTGATGCACCCAGCTGATGCTCGGCTGTATCAAGGCCTCTAAACAGAAACTTATTCCAAGCATATCCAAGTCTTCGAGGCTTGCACCTACTGGATCGCCTCACCGTTTCGGTGCTGTCCATGCGACTTGAAGGCCATGCGCCATGCTGCTTATCATTGGCTCTTTGCTAAAGGCTGACAGCTGAAGGATCCAGGAAAGGCTGTACCTTGCCATGCCACTGGATCCCCACGGGATTCCGGGTGCCAGCAGGCCTTAGAACCTCTGCGATACCTGTCTAGTGATACGCAGTGATCAGGGCCGGCCGCTAGAGCGGCTCAGTTGTAGACCATATACTTTGGAGTAGCAGAGAACTTCGAATAGCCTTTGATAACCTGAGTTGCTGGAAGACAGCGACTCGCAGACTAGCACCACCTCTTCACAAGGTCAGCTTGCTTCGGCTATTGCGTTCGCAGGTGGCCTTGTTGATGGCATCTATCAGGTCTTTCTCCTCAGCTTCTGGCAACTTTCCTGACCTACACATGCCCGTGCCAAAGACAACCTGTGAAACGGTCAAAAGCAGTTGGCTCTGTCGTCCGAACTGCTCGCAGATGAACCCTGCTGACCAGAGCTTGCCAGACAAACTGAACACGAAGTAGGAGCTACGGCGTAGCAACAGATGGGTGGCACAGCATACATGTATTAAACAAGCAGGTCCGGTTGCAGCTTGCGGCTCGGAGATGCTCTTCCGACGGGCTCGGATGGCGTACATGCCAGCTTCTGTGCAAACGCTGCGGCACTCGGCACCTTGCACATACGCTTGCATGTGCAAGCCGAAGATCTTGACACTGAAGCCGCAATGTCACATTGTGAATCTAGACCGTGAGGCATGCCAGCCTGTGGTATTGGGGCAAAGCCGTGCTAGGAGCTCAAATCGCACATCTCTGTCAATTGCCATTGTCCTGAGATGTAAACACATGGCATGCGCTGTCACCTGAAGTGTAGATACAAACATCACTCACTGCACGCTTGTAACAGAGAATCTTTGCGTGGATCTTGAAGATGTGCGTACGCCCTTCCAAATCAGGCAGACCGAATTCGATTTTGCGGTCCAGACCTCGCAGCATACTTGGCAGCCCGAACCACACCAGTAGCTGGCTGGACATCCAGCATTGCAAGAGCCCAACTTGGGCCCTGGCGACCAGGTCTCAGCAATGCAGGGTCCAGTGTGTCAGGGCGATTTGTCGCCATGAGAACCTGGCTGGTTAGGTAATGATGTAAGCGTGCGACAGACTTTCTGCACCTTTTTTGACACCGATTGGTCCGCCCGGGAAAGAGCAAACAGCATCGATGGACGTTTTGCCGCACCGAACACGTCTTTCTGAGCGCACTATAGCGCACTGTTGTGGCTTACTGCATCATCTCCATCATCTCTTCGAGATGCAAAGCTCTCAGGAACGTCGGCATGTCGTGTGTAAGTATCGCATGCTGAATTTGCTGAATCCGCGCAGGAATGATCGCAGTCATTGCAAATGCCAGAGTTGCTCCGCGAAAGGTCACGCAATTCACGTGCTTGTATGCTCAGATGGTAGATGTGCGAAAATTCACGCAACCAGCTTGTGATGGCTCCTTCTCGTCATGCTAGGCCATGTGCACACGCAGCATGACTTTGCTCATGCTCGCGCTGCTGCCGTGCCCTCGTAAGGCCACCTTGCCGAAGCTGGACAGAGGGAAACCGGAGCCCTTTTCACAGATTCACCTCCGGTCCATCCGATGCCTTTCCGCGCCATTTGACCAAATATCAAGCATCTCGAGAAGCTTAGGCTTAGGTCTTCTCCCGTAGATGTAGCACCTCCTGCGCCCCCAGTAGAATGGCTTTTTTCCTTCGCAGGTTGGGTGGTTTTGGCAGCGTCAAAAACCAAAACAACTCCTAAGCGGCAGCCCTGGCGTGATGCTATCCCACTGCTGCGCCAAGGTTCTCCTCGATTGAGAGCCCCTCATCCACCATCTGCCGTGGATCCAGCTCTAATCCATGGTAGTGGTCAGGGTGGAACACCTCTCGATAAGACACCTTGTCTGTGCGTGCACCAAGGAGGATTGTCTAAATATTGCGTCTCAAGTGTCTGACAATCACCACCTCAGCATGTCTGCTTCCCCCTGCATCCAAGATGCGACTGAACGCCAGAAGCTTGGAATCTGCTCTGTTGGAACAACTTCTATTCGCTGCTCTTGCGCCCAAGCAGTCAGGACAAACTCGACATGCACCGGCTTGAAGTAGCTCCACGTGAGCAGAGAATACTGACTCCTGCAGAGACAGAGGCACGTGTGCGGCCCGTAGCACAAAGCGAACGGTACCGAGCCTGCAAACCAAGCACACATGTTAGCGGAATTACGAGTGACCGCGTGGATAAAGAACCTTCTGGAACCTTCAGGCTGACACGTCACGCAACTTTCAGTGAAGAGCTGCGGAAAACCCTTGTCGAGTGTCGCTGAAACCTGCTGAAATTTCAGTTTCCAAGCAAGGCAACATGCTGAGGAAACGTCCTGAGCAAGTGCAGTACAGCCCCCAAAGAGCATCCGACTGACATCATCGATGACTCGCCTGGGTGCTGGAGTACTGCTCAACTTGAAATCATACTTCAGCATGCCCCATTCACTCAAGTCTTGCTCCTCATTGAGCGGGCCACTGTACTGTTGACTGATGTTTCCAGGAGATTTGGCCTCATTAAAGGGAATGGATAGGCCAATCTCTGGGGGCAGGTAGGAGTGCACAATCTCCATGTGGATCACCAACGGCAAGTACCTCGCAACATGCCGACTGGAATAGCTTTTGGCACTTAGCATCCGTCTGAAGACTCGGACAGTTCAACAACAAGTTTATGCAGACCACATCGAACCGTTACCAGCCGACCCCGCAGAAAAGTATCACCCGCCAGCATACGAAACACCCTGTAAACATCACTCTGCCCCAACCTCCCCACTAGTCTCTCCCCTTGCAACCATTGCCAACAAACGAAATAAGTGAGAGAAGACGGAAGTGTGAGCAGAAGCTGAGCACGGTCCGGTCGGGCCCGGATGCATGCATCCCCTTACAGTCCGGTTCATGTTTTTCTCACAATCTTCATACTCAAGAGTGCTTCTTCATTTCTATGCGCACGTTTCTACTCACACTTCGTTCACACTTCATCTCTATGTTTCCAACGAGTGTCGCTCACACCTCCCACGCTCCAGCACACAGCTTGGTGACACTTGTCTGACACATCTAGCACTACAAAAAGCACTGACATGCTGCTCACGCAGCCGTTAACCGGCTCTTCTCATGATAACAACCAAGGCCGTGAATCAGATCAAAGGTGGTGGGCGGCAATGGGTGGGAGGGGGCGGAGGTCGGAGTGGAGGGGTGGAGTGTTCAAGGAGGAGAAGGCATCGAGGGGCGGAGGGTGGAGGAAGGGACGTACCCTGCCGTGAGGAGCCCCGTACAGTCGGAGCGAACACAAATCTTCATCCCGTCTTGCCACAAGTACCTCGAGCGTTCAATGCCGTCTTGTACTTTTCTTGTTCAGGCAGTCTCTCGCAAGGCCATCGTTCACGCGAGCTGTGATGATCGGCTCGTGTCCACAGCTGTGCCTGTTAGGACTCGTTTCTGATGGCATGTCCTCGCGGAGTGTGCACTTGTCAAGCATCCCGAGTCTTCATGTGTGCTTTTCCCAAGCAGGGGAAGCCTGTCGTTCTACTACGTATTCTCGGGCCCCTCACAGGCACTAGTAGCCGCGTAATTTCAGCTGACAGCACCTATCCAGCTGCTCGTTTTTGCCGCCATAGACTCTATAGCTTCAAGATTTGATGTGACCTGGCACACAAAGGCCCACACCCTGCTTCCAACCACACCGCCAGGTAGTCGCAATCGCCATTGTCCTTGCGATGGGGGAAGTCATGATGCATTAATTGGCCTTTGCAGTGCCCCCTTGTTTCCAGTTGTGCCAAACATGCGAAAAAACATTCCGCGCAGTGCAGTCCACATCAATCTTCAGAAGAGCCGGAAAACGAGCATGCAGTGGCTTCGAAGTAAATTGGAGCCTCAAAGCCGGACACAACTGACTGCGACCATTGGTTGCAACAGTCAGTGTATGAAACTCACTCAACTCTGCCGTTAACGCTGCCGATGTCTGGTCAGGTCGCAACTGCTCCACAAAGCGGCCAGGGCTCACCAGCTCGGCTACAAGTACGACCTGCAACAAAACACAAGCCACCCAAATTTCCACAGTGGACAGTGGAGGCTGGGTTTTGAGGCTGAGTCTTGACGCGCCTCTTGTCGGCGGCCAAATCGCAATCGCAGGTCTTCCACCATCTTGGGATCGATCTGATCGGGGCCAACCCCGAAGCCCCAAGGCCCCTTAAGGCCTTAAGGCATTAGCTCGAGAGCCCGGGCTCCAGGCCTCGAAAAGGATGGCGCGGAATGCACCTACGTCCATCGGTACACCCCCACCCACCCCCGTCCCCTGAATGCAGCTACCCAACTACCGAGCGGACCGAGCCCCACCTGACCGTTCGAGGAGGCAATTTGCAGGGTCATGCCTTCAGCTTCAGTGGCTGCTTACCGGCAAAGCTACTTGCACTTGACTTAACAAAATAACCACAACACGCCCTCGCCGAATCCTGCCCGGCACTCTCTGCGAGATTGAGTTGAAGCTCAGCGCACCAAGAAGCTCTTTAGGCCCTTGCGGAACGGGCAGTGAACCCTCATGACGTGCATCGTACGTGTGAGCACCCTTAACGAGCATTATGCGCACAGTGTAGGTGCTCTGGCGGGACCATTGGCCGACAAAGGGACAAAGGGCCAGCATCATTAGCATCATGCATCCCCACCGAGATCCTGCACAAGCACGTACGTGCTTCCACCGCTCCAGCTCTCATCATGGGCGGCGAGTACTCCAGGGCTCCGCGCTGTTGTCGTCTGTGCTCTTGTGCTTCATGTCTTGTACTTCAGACATCTTCAGACCACATGCTAGCTGAAGCAAGTTGAAGGCTCGTGGTGTTGACTCCGGCCCTGGGCCATGGCCATAACTCCGACTTGAATCGACTTGAGCCATGCAGCAAAGGCCGAGGCCAGGGCTGGCCCGCGCCGAGGTTCACGATCAGTGGAAGGCCGGGCCCGAAGTCGCGCTCAGCTAGGAATACCTCCAGACACCACGACTCTGCGAATCTTGAGGCGACTCTTCCAGCCCCCTTGGAGCCTCCAAGATCCGAGACTGCGTCAGGAACCTTGCCTGGTTTCCACCACGATATGCTTGGACTCGACGCCCGATCGACAAAACGATAAGCTGTCCCAGCAAAATGCTTTCCACGCGTTTCGTACGTCGAGGAGCATGGCTGGATGATGAAAAGTCTGATATCTCCCCATCGAGCCGATGTGCACGACGCGGATGCAGCCCTGGACCACATGCGTCGAAGTCGGACCTTGATGACTGTGCAAAGGTATGGTGTTGTGCTGAGTGGAAACTAAGACCTCACCTGGCTCGAAGCATGCCATCAAGCTGCACAAACTCACCCCCGAGAGTCCATGTCGAGGCATGAGAAAGCACGGTGGCTAACCTTAGCCGCAATCACAGCATAGACATGTGAAGCTGTCGCTTCCTGGAGCCGATCATGCCTTGACCTTCCGACAGACCCGAGTTTGGATACTCAGAACTGCAGTGCATTGCAGTGCGAGAGTTCCCCACTCGGCGAGCCACGTGGGTGCTTTGGCCCGGCCCTGCTGCGTCCAAAAGAGCTTTGCCACGTAGGCGGCCAGCCTGAGGGGGCCCAAAGACAGAGCCTTTCACAAGGGCCAAATACTGAATTGTACGTGTTATGTCCCCGGCATTAGAATGGTGCCTGTCCAGCACCTCTCCGAAAAGGTCGCCCTGCCCAAGCGCAAGATGCTCGTAGAAGTGATCCTTCCGTAGTATGTCCTGCCAATCGCCCTATTTTGCGGGACACACACTACTCGCACCGGCATCGTTTCAACGTTGCTCCTGACATAGGTGCCCCATCTCCAAGCACTGCATCTCCTGGGCCACAACTGAGTAGTCTTTTGCACTGCTGCGGTGAGAGTCACTCACCCGCCGCTCGTGACGCCTGCAACCGAAAAAGATCGAGAGACAGCAAGCTGGGGACTGCGAGCCTGGGAGGTCGGAGGTGCTTGCAACCAGGGTACATGTCATTGAAGTTCGCTCGCGCAAATCGGACACAAGAAAAGCGTTAGCGACAAATTGAAGTGATCTATCGCTGCAAGTCAGGAAACAAGATGGTCCACCAGCGCCATCACGAGATCGTGGTGCTCGGCGGTGCCTCCGTAGTAACAGTTCACTTGCCTCCGGGGTGGTCAAAGGCAGGTGCATGCTGTGGTGAGCCGTTCGCACCTTGCTGTAGCGTGCACCCTTGAAACCATTTAACCCCACCTTGCATAGCAAGTCATGTCCCCCAAATCTATCAGGAAATTCAGAATCGGGAGCAGTTCCTCGGGCTCTTCCTCGGCAGTCTCGTAACAATCGGCGGTCATGAAGTAGACGGCGCTGACGTGATCTGAAAGCGCTCTGACCATGTCCAGGCGTGCTCTGCTGGACTCGGGACAATCTGCAGGGCGCTCTGCCACACTTGGTGGGCATGGCTTGCGTACGAAGCTGTCCTGTCACTCGTGGGCGGGCTGAGTGCGCGCATTCAGACTACGCTGCCTGCCTCAAGCATCCTGGTGCATCAGCAATGCTTCTCAAAGTTAATACAGGAAGCAAGACGTAATTTGTCTTTCTGCACAAAATACACAAGTCCTTGCTCAGCGCGCCAGCACATATGAGCAAGCAAGCAGTGCTTTGAAGACTGCGCATGGCAAGCGAGCATTGAGCCGATGCGATGCTTCAATCGATTCAGTTCCCAAGCCTTGCATTACATGCAGATGAAATGACAGCGACAAGCTTCAAGGCGCAGTTCATGTGTAATGTTACGGCGCCTACTTTTAAACACCCG